TATCGATCCTTTTAGCGTTGTTTTAGGTTGAGCATAAGTTTCTCCCATACTAATTACATGTCACAAAGTTACCCCGGTAGGTTACTCTTTTTTGTTTATTGTTAAAAAAAAATGTGTCAAATTAATAAATCGTAAGCGAATTCACGTAGATATCCCGACAAGTACCCAAGGAATTAGAAATTCTGACGAATTTTTCTGGGGAGTGTTCAAATTCTGATGTACATTAAAAAGTTTGGGCGTTTCGAAAAAGTTGCAAAAACGAGATGCTCCCTTCGAATCAGGCTGCAAGTTACCAAGGGAGCGTACCAGCTTGCCGAATGGTTTTTGTAGCGAGTGAGGTATGTGCTTCCACCAGCCGGTAGAAAAATTTGGCTTCGCGCGCGGAATTCGAAATGTTTGGCTAATCTGAATTGAATTTCACAATGTCACAAAGTTTCCCCCTTGTCACAAAGTATCCCCGTTTTAACAAATTCAGGACCGGTTTATCAGTGGACGTTTATCTAGTTTAGCTGTTGGTTAACTAATGATAATTACTATATAGCTATACTTATGTAGTTAATTGAAAGATGGTGAAAAAATTCCTCTACTTCTTTTCCACCTCTTCAACAAATTTTACATTGAAAGCTTGGTCGTTCATTTCGTCAAGTCACTACAAAAATTGAGAAACAAATCTCAATCAAATCCTCGCGCGACCAACAGTAACGTACCGGTCGGTACGACTATTGCGCTGTGTCCGAAATTCGATTTGAATACACGTGCCGCAGTAGCTTCGCGTGCGACGGGCCTTAGCAAAGAATGTCAATCAACTGTTTTCAGAGTTACTACATTGCAGTCGCCTGTTTGTCAGGGTTTACTCGAGCTTTCGTCACCTTTCGTCCCAAAAAATTCTAGACAAAATAGATGACCCAGTTGTTCTGATGGATGAACTGCTGCCATAAACTAGTGCAAAAATTACTTTCTGGTATGAGAGATACTTTTCAGAATGCTTGTTGGGCCGTTTGGTCCAACATTCCTACAGCTGTGAATTTTCCCAAATGAGGCTCAAGGTTTTCTGGAAAGACAGAGGAAGATGCTGAAACTTTCATTGTGCTGATAGTGTCTACAAGAACCGCTCGAACATCAATGACGAGAACGCTTTCAAAATTTCCCCATGCTACTAAACTAGATGGCTTTGCTGCGTATGGTGGCAGAGTAACAAAAAACCAAACATTTTATGATCAGGAGTTTCAGATGCGCTACGTCTTGCTTGGTTTTGCCAAATCAGCACATCGATTTATAGAGCTACTCTACTGTTGTGCACTGTGCACTGGCTTCAAAGTTGTCACTATGCCCTTGTCAACAAGGATATTACACACTATACTACAAGATTGCTTATCGGCCTCGATTTTTGAAATCAAGGTCATATGGCGTAGCACCCGTTGTCGACGATATCAACGGTATCGTCAGCTGTTTGCGTCAGCGGTCGTAGTTTAAAATATAAACTTATGATGAAAAATAGTATTTTTTGCGCAACCTGCTCAATAACGCGACTTTTTGAAGCATGCGAAGCGGACAGAACGTTGACATGTTGACAATTGCAGCCCGCTGACTGTCACGCATGCGCATTCCACAGCCGGGCAAACAAGAACATTTCCGCCCGCCTAGCCGGGCGGAAATGCTGTCATTTGACTTTGGCAGTTTGACAGGGTGTTGTTGATTGTTGATTTTCAGTCAATTTAATATAAATGATATCAAATAGAAATTTTTCCAAAAGAGTTTTAGGATGGTAAATAATGTACTTAAATCATGTATGCATAAAGCAAAAGCCAGCGGAATTATAGCCTGTGGTGCAAACACCCTGCGTCAAAGCGAAAAACGATTGCGTCATCACTGGTACCATGGCATGGTCGGGGGTTTGAGATATGACAAAAGGCCTTATGAGGATAGGCTATCCATACATGAAATTGTAGGACCAAAAACCACACAGTAGTCAGAACTTCACAAAACCGACTAGTGTCATTTGTCAATTGCTCGATGGTATTGGGTACAGTGGCTAAATAAACCCTTACATACAGTGGCGACGATAGAGGTCCCGCCGCCATCTTGTTCCCAACCTCTTGTTACTTTTAAATATTAATATATAGGATTTAAATGGACATCTATCATAAAAAATTGAAATCGACGTATTGGATGACCATTATTAGGTCCATCAAATACGTTGTTTCCATGATTTATGATGGATGTTCACCTAAATCCCATATATTCATATTTAAAAATAACAAGAGGTTGGGAACAAGATGGCGGCGTTTTTAATATAAATATATGGGATTTTAGAACAAATCAAAAATAAGACAGCAATTGTCGCCACTGTGGTTATAGAGTCACTGTAGTATTGGGAGGCTAGGGGATCAGTCATGAATGAGCATTGAGCATTGCTGAGGATTTGAAGAATAAACCAAGTACATCATTGAACATAAAAGTACCTATTTTGGTTTTATTTAAAATATAGTTAACAAAAAATATAACATGGCGCAGTCGTGAGTGTATTCGGATAGGTACAGTTGTGGCCATTGGAATTGGCACAAACTTTTCGAATGCACCTCGTATTGCATCAAAATCTGGCTTTTTAAAAAAGCCGTTAATGCCAAAATTGTGTCAAAGTAAGAAGTCAGTGGTGAACTAAGACAGTTTTATTATTATCTTCCATAATCATCATATTTCACACGCCACTGATTAATTTTACTGGTTTTGGTTACTTTTGGCCACAACTGTACCTATGAAGCTCGATGGAGTTGTGAAATTTTGCGTTTTTGGACATCTATGAAAAGGATCCTGTTAATTGGAGAGCTACCTACTTATGTTTTACACAAAAATAGAAACTAATTCTGAGAGTCCATGATATGTGGTCAAGCCGAGTCTTCTGAAGAAATTCCTATCGTGGATTTGAAGAAAAAGAAAATCGTTAATGTAAACATTTAGACTTTTTTTTAATAAAAGGTAGCCAAAAATCATAACTACAAAGCCGCAGCCTGCATAGAATCATCACTCTCGGACTCCACGAATATTAATTCACCAACACCTCCAATTAAAAAGCTTGCGTTCACGACGGCCGGAAACTTCCCGAATTCATACAGAATTGGCTACTAGGCAGTAGGCACATAGTGTGTAGAGTTTACTTTTCCTTGTACGAAGTCTACTTGCCAAGTACCGCGTAGTGAGTAGCCGGCTTTAGGCCATCAAGAACTGGGTATTTTGTGCGGAGCTCAACGTTTCATGCCGGCGCTTAGCGGATGCCTACAATTGAGCGAATTATCATATCATATATATCTAATTACATCAAAGTTATGAATAAATTATGCTCTTGGAGTAACTCCCGAACTCGTTCGTTGACGCTGATGCTATCTAGTAGGTATCTAGCGAGAATAGAAAATGCAAAATGGATAATTACAACATAATACAAGAACATAATAGCGCTAATAAAATTGTCGCTGCTGCCTCTAGCGATAGAAAAAAAAAACGGAAAAATTACCCCATTCTTAAATAATAAAAATCTTTATGATCCTAGGAACATAATTTACATAATGGATCACTTATGTGTCAAGTGTTGAAGAGAATAAAGTTCAAATTATAGAGTGCTTGAAGATAGGAATATTTATTGCTAATCAAATCACAATTGATTATTGGAAAATAAAGGCAGAATATAGGTAGCAATGTCGGCAATCGGATGTATGGGACACCGCCTTTATGGAGAATTATAGCTCAATAACATTTGCATTTGATGAGGAGTATCCTAAACGTTTCAGCATCCAGTTACGTAAAATTTTCAGCAATCAACAGGTTACTATAATTTGAAAATATGTAGTGACAACTGACAAAGTGAAGAGTATTATTACCAATGAACTATAACCAAAAACTGGAATGCTAACACATAAGGACGAACTTGAAGCCTAGTGCGGCTGCTGCGGAGGGGATACCTGTTTTTGTCGCACTCATTATGTTAAATGGCGAAAATTGCTTCCAACACGTATTCCAATTGATGAAACCTGTGAAGGGAAATATGACAAAACCTGCGAAAACGTCATATGTCAGCGAGCAACAGAAAAAAACAACATTCCCCCTTGTGGCATCTGTCTTTCATGGCTTCATTTTTTTGGCAGATATGGCAATGTGTGCGCATTCCAGTTTTGAGCTATAGTTCATTGATCATTACAAAATATGACAGCCATTGTGTGACTGTGTGCCAGTGCACTTCTTTGCCATGAAGATGAAAAAACTGAGGGTGATACAAAAGATAAGTGACGACACCCATTGTATAAAAACTCATTACAGTTTATCATCCGTCTTCTTGATGAAAAGATAACAAAATCTTTTAGTTTTTAATACAAATCATAGGTTGGCAGACGAAAAGAACAATCCAAAAAATCTCTCGATCACATGACATCTTTTAATTTTAACACGTACCTATTTCAGATGATAACATCCAGAGATTAGAATTTAATGAAGGCTAATAAAACTGTGAGCAAAAAGTTTGTCATTGATTATTTATTATTTGATCATTTGATGCATGATTAGTCGACTTTTTATAAATAACTTAACAGATTCCATGCTCGAACTATTATTAAAGATATTTTGCAATACCTAAGCTTAATTATTTCCAAATATCAAACAATTAACAATAATTTATCATTAAACGGCAAACGCTAAATAATAGATGAGTGATTATATGAATAGAATGAAAGAGGCTATAACATAATCCAGCTTGATTATTATAGACTTCACAATTTTGGGTAATAGAAGAATTTTAGGAAGGCAGAGATTATTTATTGGGCTTTGGTGCCACCTCGTATCACCCTTTATACATGTATTTTCGTGGTTTTCCTGTCTATGGAAGTAGGAAATATTGCGTTTTGGAATCCACACAATGTAGGTATTTGTTGTTATCATTCCGTTCTCGCGAAGCTTGAGTTTTTGTAATATTTGCCAAAAGTTCAAAGTTTTTTTTAGCTGATAGAAAAATCGACATGGATGCCTGTTATCAAGCTTTCGATAAAGACGGGTAAGTATGTAGATAAAAATAGAGTTTGATTTTTAATGCTGATTAAGATGTTACTATTATTTTAAATGGAAAAATGCCAATTTTTTTAAGAAGCGTTAAACTTCAACTAAAACATAATTTTTTGATTCGATGGAATGTTAGAAACAGTTTGCAAATCCGCTTTTAAAGTTTCGGTGTTCAAATTATGTAGGTTCAATGTGTCAGTGTGTCCACGTTAAGGAATTAACAGGCACCATTTGTGAAAGTTTTATTTCTCGATCGATTTATTAAATTTCATTTTGGTAGGCAGGAAGGCAGGTATTCCAAATGTACCTTCAAGGGGTAGTAATTATGGTAAACTATGACCACTTTTATGAGATCGAATTCAAATAATTAGGAACCGACTTTCAAGTGCACCCTGTATTTTATAGCAATGAAAATCTGTAGAGTTAGATTTTAGGTGATCCTAAAGATGAATCCGTCGTTAGATTTTTTTCTTAAAAACTTCCTAATAGGTAGTAAGTCATTGAAGTGTAAACTTCTTGTAGGAAGTTTGACGTTTAACGCTTACCTAAATTTAACGAGTGGGAAATTTTAATAGGGAAGTTTCAACTTTCAGTTTGGAGGTTCTTCATTGTGCATACGGTTTTTTAAAAGTATTTGCCAGGCGCGTGCTGCTTATCAGAAAGATCTAACTGATTTTTCCTTGCATAGGAAAAGTGTTAATTTACAATAAAAATTACCATCATAATAGATTGGGATCTCAGAAAACAAATTCAGTATTCGTTGGCGGTGTTTGGAGGCTAATTTGGATATTATTTAGTTTAATTGGGAAAATTGTTGTAGGTAAACTAAAACCAGTCGGCTAACCGGAACACGGAACATTGACAAATTTTTCACCAAGACACCTAAATATAAAGACCCACTGTTATATCTTTCTGTGTGTCTCAATTTGAAAACTTTCAATGCAAATGTCTCTAAAAGAAAGTTAGAAAAACGTAATTTGGTACAAATGTTATACAGGTAGGGGAACTTATAGAACCACCATATTTTAGTTTAGTTATGAGGTGAGTGACCTCTTGGGCACCACGCACCCCAACCTCAAAATTTTGAATAGCACCACTCCTTTTGTGATACCTAAAATTAAATATTTTTCAGTATAGTATTCACCTGCACAAGAATTTTTCCAAAAAATATTTGATGTATAAGGTATCACAAAAAGGGGTAATGCCATTTAAAATATTGGGGTTGGGGTGCGTGGGGTTCAAGTGGTCATTATAATCAAAAAATATGGTATTTCCAGTTCCCCCTACCTGTATAAAATTTGTACCAAATTACGTTTTTCTAACTTTTTTTTTTCATTCGCATTGAAAGTTATCAAATTAACAGCATGTATATGTTAGTCCTAGTCTTGATATTCTGACACAAATCCCAATACAAGGATTTTGAATTGAAATTTATATTTAAAACTATTATGTTTATCATTTAGAGATGGTCATTTAAATATTGAAGAATTCAGACTACTAACGAGAGCACTATTTAGAAACGACAGAGGCAAAATTTATCAGTTAGATGAACAAAAACTGAGAGATACGTTTGACGTATTTGATTTAAACTCTGATGGTCAGATCGATAGAGATGAATTTACTTTTTGTTGGAATCACTGGATAAAAATTGTAAGTGCACTTTGGACGAAATGAATTTGACTTTTTAAAATGAAAGCTTTTATGTATAATGCAACGGAAAACATTTTTTATTTTCAGATTGTTAGACCAATCTCTGCGTTTCTAATTGTAGACGTGCAAAACGATTTTATTTCTGGTACTTTGAACATCAGCAATTGTTCTGCTCAACAAAATGGTGAGTAAACTCGGGCGGCTATCTTATGTATATTTTTCCAAAAATTTGACGTCAATATCATGGCCAAATAAGCGGCCCTAGCAAAAATAGGCATTTAAAAAACTTTTGAAAAGGTCCGCCGCAAAATCGACTTGGATATACCTATATCGGCAGACAAAAGAAAACATTGATGAGTCTAAAAGTGGGGCGATATCAGAAAAAGTAATTTGAAAAATGTGTTCATGAATGAATTTTTGCGTGCATGTACGTTTTAACTCTTTATTTACAGGAATGGAAAATTGCTAGATAATTTTTCCAATCATTTTTTAGCACTGTTACAGTTGTGATTTTAAAGGCTTCTCCGGGTCTGTTGTTGCTGACTTCAGTGGCATTCATGTTGTCATGAAGTAAACGAAGTATGTTGATGAATTTAGACGGACAGCCGTGCAATGTCACGTTCTTCCAAAAACCGACTCGATTAATAGAGTCAAACGCTTAAGCAGCTTCTATAAATGCTATATACAAAGGTTTGTTTTGTTCCTTGGATTTTTGTTGCATTTGTCTTGCAATGACGATCATGTCTGCTGTCCCTAAGTTAGGTCTATAATGCCAAAGGCCACACTGGGTTTCGAGTAGGGTTGCTTCAGCCAGAGGTAGAAGTCGGTTGCAGAAAGTCCTGGCAGGTTTTTTTCAGCTGTAGAGAGCGGTGATATTCCTCGGTATTTTCCACATTATGTCTTAGCACCTTGCTTGATACAGAAATATCTCGCAATTTGTGGGAAGTCGCGGCGCTTTATACCTTGGCCATGAGCCTATAGTGTTTGTTCGACCAGCGCCCCCACCTTTTCCACCTTTAAAAGCTGAGCAGAGACTCGGCTTAGCAATTTCATTTTTCTTTCGTGAAAGGCTGATAGCTCTTGATGGGAAGGAACGTCACTCAGATGGTTCTGAGTGGGTTTTTGAAGAAATTTGTTGAAGACCTCATCATCTACGTTTCTGAAAATGCTCCTCCCATCAGGAGTTATTAGAAGTGGGATCTTTGGGTATCTAGGTCCCATCTCTAGATCTAAGGAGATTTGAACCTTTTGTAGAGGGACCATAGGTTGCTTTTGCGTTGCTTATGCTTAATGTTCCTTGTAGAGATAGGTATACAGTGTACAGTTCAATAATACACGACTTGGTATTATGTTGAAGTGAGTTCTTAACCTATCAATACACCGTCCAATAGAAAAATACTGAATAAGTTCAAAATTTTTTCAACTAAAAAACATCATTTATGGTCGATATTTGCCGAAGTTACATAGGGCCAGATTTTTTCGCATCCATGAATAAAATTCGGATAGACCTCGATAACTTAGATAATGTAATCGGATTTTTCATCAAATAACCACACTCTATGTTTTATTGAGAAATCGCTCCTAAAGATGTAACTTTAGGTGTATTTACAACTGAAAGAATCCCTATTTATTATTTTTTTAGGTTTGGATGTCATAGAACCAATCAATAAACTTCTAGAGACAGTAAAATTTGACGCAGTATTTTATTCGTTGGATTGGCACCCCAGTGATCATGTATCATTTATTGAAAATATAGGGGAAAGAGAAATCGATCCAAATAGTCCTGTGACAGCCGAAAATGCTCAGACGTATGATACGGTGATATTTTCTGGTTCACCGCCTCAGAAACAACGACTATGGCCAAGGCATTGTGTACAGGACACTTGGGGATCTGAATTGCATAAGGATTTGAAGGTCAAAAAACCGCTACATTGTTGCCTACTAGGTTTCTAATTTTTTTTTCTATTATCAGGTTGTAGAAAGTGCGATTAAAGTCTACAAAGGCACTAATCCAGATGTTGATTCCTACTCGGTATTTTGGGATAATAAAAAAATGACAGATACAACTTTATGCGCTCAACTTCGTATGCGGAATGCTACCGATATCTACATTTGCGGGCTCGCCTATGATGTGTGTGTCGGTGAGAAATACAAATGTTATCATGTTCATAATTTTTGCCAGAATATTCAGAATGTGATTTAATGTGAAAGTACATTTTGTTGGAAGTAGGTTATGAAATAGCTACTTATTTCATCTCTCAACTTTTTATCTGCGATATTTCACCATTATTTCAAGACTGCTCCATATGGCGGAAAGATGCATTGGGGAACATAGTGGCCGTTTTCGATTCGCAACCAGGTTCGGCCTGGTTGGTTCGGATATGACAGAAGTTAGTTGACAGCTTTTGAATTTGGTCTGTCAATAAAGACGCCATGTTTTAAGGTTATGAAAGCAAACCGAAACTGGTTCGAATTTAGACGGACCAAGCGATGCCTGTCAGGTCACGAAAACAGCCACTTTAACACTTACAACTTGTTAAAAATACCTAGAGACGTGAAGAATACGTTCTCACTCAGTTTTCTACGCAGATGGTGAAGTCCAGGTCTCGCCATATTTGACAAGTTGTACATATGCATACACTAAGTACTTACATAATAATCATCACGTACTTTTCCGAAAAAATAGGCGAACAAGGGAAAAGCATGCGTGACTATAGCTTTTTAATTTCAATATTACAATTTCAGAATCCTTGGATCATGATGAATACGATAATGTCTACCTACTTCTTTCACAAAATTTAAACGTGTTAAGATCATATTCATGTGAAATATTTATTGGTATATATTCAATTTCTGTCACTAGGCTACATTATTTTTGGTTACAAATACATCATCAATCAATATTATTAATTTGTTTGCAGAAAATTTGAATAACCTTCAGGTATACATATACACCCAATAAGCGCTGGCGTGAAATTGTTTTTTGCAATAACTGTTCCATTTGACTAAAATGAGTACCTACCTATGGAGATGCCAATTGCCAATATGTTCGGTATTTGTTTGATTCTATTTTACAACCAATTCGGCGAAATTACATTTCATGAAGTATCTCAACCAATTGAAAATTAATTATTTTGCTTGAATAAAGCTAACCATGCAATAAAAGTTTCCCAATATGTAGGTAATGTCAATTTGCAATTAAAATTATTTTGTACAGTTTTTTTTTTGCATCACGAAATTCGAGTTTTATAAAAACCAGTGCATATTTGACACTTTCAATTACCTGTAGATTCTAAACATGAACACCTGAGGCGTTTTCTGGCGATGAAACTGCTTGATTGGTTCGAAACTGTATTACTATACATACTTGTGTTGAACGTTGAACTAATGACTTCCTCATCGGACCTCTGGACCTCAAAGGAGCTACAGGCCTGGGGGGTTTATTTGAAACGTGCAATTCAAATTCATCTTACTAAGTCGCAATTTTTGCCGGCATTTCACCGCTAAAAATTGCGACTTGGTGAGACGAATTTGAATTGCAGATTTCAAATAAACCCCCCCTGATTCAAAAGTAGACGTCAGTGCCTTCGTTGCTTTTTCCTGGGTTTAGCTTTTCTCCGTTCAGATTTGACTTTGTTTCGTGCTCTTAATAAACTTCACCTAGAACAATTACGTGAAAATAACGACAAAACTAACACTATCAAAACACTTCGAATCAATCCAATTAAAGGTGGGTTTAGCCAACTAATAATGCATAATGCACAATTTTAATTCATAATCCATAATTTTTAAAACTTCATATTCAGATACACCTGTTTATACAACGCATAGTGGACTAAAGCCTAATTTATAACTATATTTAATTATTTATTATTTTATGAAAAATAACAAGTGTCAAACTCAGCTGTGTTGTCAGTTCTTTATTTACAAAAATTATGCGTTGTATAAACACCTCTTTTCTCTTATGCATTACGTGTTATAAATTACGCATTATCAATTATGAATTAAAATTGTGCATTATCCATTAAGAGTTGGCTAAACCCACCTTAAGTTTAACTGTTCACAAAACTATATCACTATGACTGATAAACTTACTGTCCGATACACTGCATAATTTTCTAATAGGAATTTCCGATAAGCATCAATTCTCGATCGTTGCGTAATTCACTAGATTACAGTCCGTCGATTTTAATCTGATACTCCAAAGAAATGTGTGCTGGTGGCTCTCTACGTTAGAACGCTAATGGTCACCTGACGTCACACCTGTTTTTGCCACATGCTTCACCCCCTCGCTCGTGATACGGAATGTGTCAGATTAAAATCGACGGACAATATTAAAAGGTCTGTTTCTGCAGAAATCACAAACCAGTCAGAGCGAATTTCATTGGTTGAAAACAGTCAGAAAAAGTCAGAAACAGTCAGAAAACTAGTTTCAACCAATGAAATTCACTCCGACTGGTTTGTGATTTCTGCAGAAACAGACCTAAGTAGATAGTCAAAGGGGATTCAAGCATAAAAATCCGACCATAACCTCAATCTTTCATTCTTGACACGTGGTGGATGCGCCGCCGTTGACACGAAGGTGGATGCATCGTCGGCGCCATCTTGTCAAACGTCATGGTGCCATCTAGCGTACATAGTGTGAAGTTCGTAATACAGGATGCTGTAGTTGGGACCCGTAGGGCTCCGCCCCCCCAAAAAGGGGGCCCGCAGGGCTGCGCCCCCCAAAAAGGGGCCCCCCGGATTTTTTTATGGGTACCAGAAGTGGGGGGAAACGTTTTCCCGCCATCTTGTCAACCGTCACCTGTCAAACGTCACCTGTCAAACGTCATTTGTCAAACGTCACCTGTCAAACGTCATCTGTCAAACGTCATCTGTCACCTGTGATGACGTCATACCGGGTTATTGCGGTGAATTCTTGCAATTGATCGACAGGAATGGTTCGGGGAATTACAGGTTCTTGTAATATGGAGTGTGCGTGGAAGGGATTGTTCCGAGTCGTTTCGAAATCGCTACGTATATTTAATTATGGTTCTGTGATGACGTCATAGCGACCTGGGTCACGTCCATTTTTGCATCAAACGTCTATCATTGCGTAAATGGAGTACACGCATTATATAATTTTTTACTTATATGGTCACATCAGTTTGTGTGTCGGTGGCGCCATCTAGCGTACGTTGTGCGACGTGTCCTATTACAGGATGCCGTAGTGGTAAATAAAGAAAATTCGTGAAACTCAAGGTTACAGACCATCGAGTTGACGACGCTTAATGTCGGAGCGTTATAAACAAAGGTATCATATTTCACAGTTTATTTTACTGATAAGCATTTACGTTCTAGCGAAAATAACAAGCTGGGACTTGCATCTAATATTTTGTTGATGAAAAAAGGATATTTTCACTGCAGATTAACTATGGGAAATTTAATGAATTAAATGAGTCACACTTGTTTTTTAAAATTAAAACCTATTTATTTATTAAACCATAGGGTACATTGACTTTTTCCAATATGGTACGTTAAATTCAATAATAATATTACGCAGCAAATGGCAATAAATATGACTACATTTAAAGTGGATTTCGGTGCGATGTCGTTGTCTGATAGAGTCTTATGGGAATTATTGTATGTTTCTTCTTGCTGTTGTGGTTCTCTGATGAGAGTTCTCCATTCGGTATCTCCAACAGTTTCATCATGAAAATGCAGCCTCACCTTGTAACGCAGGTACGCCAATGTCGTTGATGACGGTATACGAGTCGTGAAAACAGCTAAATGGCCCTTATCTATTACTTCATAATGCATTTCTGTCCACGATGTTGTACTTATTATTAGGTGCGGAAAAGTCCAGCATTATTGACATTTTGTGGACATTGTACGGTCTGTGTACATAGAAACTATTTTGCACAAGGGCAACCAAGAGAACATAGTACGATTGACTTGACACCATCATGGTTAGTAATTGAATGATAAGATTCATTTACACATCCTTAATAAATTGGCGCAATGGTTAATATAATGCAAACGATTTTTTCACCAAGAAAACTTTTATTTTAATAGAAACATCATACAAATTAGTCAACTTCATCGTAACCTATATATTTTGCAATAATATCATCACACATGTATTTAGCGCCATACTGTTTTAATTGCTGATGTAGTCCATACTGATTCATAAGCACACATAGGTCCTCCAAGGAGATGGAATTAGCCAGATAAAGATTACAAGACTTGACACCATTTTCAAATTTTTCCACATCTTGCGTGGAAAACCAACCATTAGTGCCGGGTTCTTGCTCAAGTGCTTGAAGTAAAAAGTACATGTCTGTTTCTAAACTAGTACGTAGCAAATAGACAGCTTGTCTTATACAGGAAGATTGATGATGGCAGCAGGCATCAGCACGACGACCAGTAATACTACAACCAGACATTTTGACTCTTCAAAGGTTGCTATTGTAATGTGAAAAATAAAAAGCAAGCCTGTTTTTTATAGTCATTTATTAATACTTATACTAATTGGATTGGAGGGTGGTACAACACGCGTCCAGCTTATCTAAATCCCTGACAATTTTGCCTAGGTTCATAGTAGCAAGTTCTAGAAAGTAGCAGCTACGTTCACATTTGTTCAAGTTACAAATGCTGATAATTGATTGCAAAAGATGGCTGCCGTTTTTGACATTGTGAGTTACATTCAAATATTGTAGGCAATCGTCATAGTATACAATGAAATTCAAATCCTTGACTAATTCTAATCTATAATTTATGAGAGGACAAACAGTTAAAATTTGTTTGATGTCGTCCAAACAAAAACACAATGCACAATTATTCGACGTAAGAGTTAGAGCTTGTTCACCGAAAAACGATTCGACATACAGAGTGAAATTCTCGGATAACGCCTGTTGTTGACCAGGCACAGCAGAGTCTTTGACGCCAGCAGCAGCAGTTGCATTCACCATCTTGGAGACCTTTTCCAGGAATTCATACCAGTCGAAATCGGCTAGAGTTATGCAAGTTTGATCTTCGGGCAAGTTTAGCATGGAGTTTACTATTTTGACTGCTGGCAGCATTCCTCGAGCGACGCTTAGGCCCACAATCAACTTGAAATTGTTCACCTGGTAGCTAACTTCGTTGAGTAAACGTTTCTCTT